AGAAAATTTTAAGACCTGCCAAAATATGGACAGCGTCATCTAATTTAACAATATTATACACATCTCTCAAACCCAAACTGACTACAATACAGCTTCTAGCTGCATTAACTGCAGAAAATGCAAGTCAAATGTTGTACTCGTATATTAGCAGAAGTATGACCAAGTTCAACCTGTTTGCGGACTAAACACAGACCTGTACCTGTCCGCAGGAAGAATTCCCCTGCATTCCCTCCCAAGATGAAGTTCCTTCCCAGTGAGACAGTTTCCACAGCCAACAGAATATGAATCCGCCTTCCTAAATTATTGGGCTGCGAAGAAAACAAGGTAACATACCCTACTGCAGACCAGCAGAACATTTTCCCCCAACGAAACAAGATATCTTTGCATAGAATCATAGAATGGTTTAGGTTGGAATGGACCTTAAAGATCATCTAGTTCCAATCCCCCTGACATGGCGGGGGGGGGGGACGACGACAGCTACGACAGGTTTCACCTCAGTTCTGAAACACTGTTTTTTCTCCAAGATTGTCAGGTCTGTGAATCTTTTTACTTGGGGGTGGGAGGGAAGGGAGGGAGAGTGACATACAATCCAGTAAGCTTTCCTATTCAACAAGCAAAGACCCACACATCTGCAACAATGAGACTTTCACAGCAGCTGCTTCCAGAGCAGAAAGCAGGATCACCCTTCAATGCATTCAAGACAAAGCACATTATATTCTATATTCTTCCTTGGGCAGTTGAGAGCACTTCTTCTGAAAACCAGCAACCTTAAATTCAAAACTTAGAATTTTGAAAACTGTCAATCTTGACAGCCATACAATCACAGACCAGATCTAATTACAAAAGACATGACTTTAGAGGTCTGAGACCATCACCACTGGATCAAACATTTAACAACAGCAAAAAAAAATCATCCTTCTGTTTACCACAGATTAAGCGTGCCTAGTTGTGAGGACTAATCCTAGAGAAAAAGTCTTTCCTGGGAAAAAGTCATAGCCATCAAGTGCACTTTAACACACTGGGAACACGACTCTTCCTGCAGGTGTGAGATCAGGAGAAGGCAGCAAACTCACGCTCTGTACTTGCACGGCTGCATGCCTGTTCTGCACACACTCTGCCTGCCTCCTTGCTGCACAGCCAGCTGGTAGAGGAAACAGGCTGACAAGGCGCAGAAAGCTGCGGCAGCAGTAACTGGAAATAACTGACAACGGTAACCCAAGGCACACAGCCAGGACACACTAATTCTGTGATAAAGTTTCCCGTTTCTTATTTTCTTTTAGATTAAGCAATTTTATATATATATAGTCTGTGCCACGGTGCTTCTCCTTGTATCCCTTCACAATACAAGTAGCTGCAGGTTTCCTCCGACAGCTACAGAAGTCCCAAGCAGCTCCACAACAACCCATGTTCTGTCCTACCTGAGGCCGGTTTGGGTTTATTCCCCTCACCTTTTATTTCAGGGGGCGTGGGAGGGAGAAGGTTGTTAATTATTTTCACCCCTGCTTTTCTCCTGCAAAAGCTGGCCTTCCTGTATGAAGGCGCATGTCCACATGAGAAAGAAATATCACCGAATTCAGTGCCAGATTTCAAAAAAGGGATTACACCAGGAAGCCACACAGTCAGTCTGCCCTCACAAGTTGTGCGGCAGCAGTAATCTTCTGGCGAACGTGCCGCAGGTGTGATAGCAGAGAAGCGCGTCAAGGCCAAACCCCATCTGGTCCTGGCACGATGTGTACCATGTCCAATGCCCTTTCCACAGCCCAAAGGAAAGAAGGGCTGAGCTCAGCAACGCTCGTCTGAAGCTTTCAAACCACATTTGCTTCCCTAACTAAACCATATTTTTTTCTCCTTCTACCTCACCGGGGGGTTATGTCTTAAGACTCAGTTACTCCACAAACCAAGTCCCTCACTCAGTAAGAGAAGCAAAAAATAGCTTTTCCTTTTTCTTCTGTCTGGGCTCAAGTGCTCTGTCTGTTCTCCTTCTCCCTAATACCTGTGTAACAGCAGATATTCCACGTACCTTGGAATAAGCAGCAAAGCCAAGAATCCCTACAGACAAACATAACCTGCAGTCATAGCCAGAAACCGGCTGACACGCAGTGATCCAAACGGTTAGTCAGAAACATGACTCAGTGTTGGAGACTCCCTCAAAAGAGCCTTGCAGTGAAGGGCCCAGCTGTGCCTTTAGGAAAAAGAAAAAAGGGAGGGAGGAAATTTCAGGGGGTAAAGTATTTCTCTTTCACCAGTGATCCAAGGTTTGCTTCTGGCCCATAATGAAATACCTATTGTCACAGATCTGTGGACCTTAACACAACGAGTGGCAGCGAAATGGCACAATTAAAAGTCATCACCAATGCCAGCAAAGTTACCTTTCAACAGCACCGTGCAAACTGACGGCTGTGCGGACAAGTTCGTGACCCAGAAAGCTCACGATCTGGGTTGACAGGATACAACAGGTGAACGAGACACAGAAAGGCAGAGCTGAGCAGAGCAGACAAGGGAAGAGGAAAGCTAACAAGTTACCACAAAGCAAGTAAACATCTCCGCTCTGCAGCTGACAGCACCTCACGGACAGCAGAGGTCCAGGCTCTTTGGATGCACGAGTAACTGATACCCCCTCCCTAAACGCCTGCTCTACCTCGCCAGGTCCATCCACCCGCTGCTGTTGTCGCCCATCCTCCGACCTCTTTAGCAGGGGGACCCTCTCCACCGGTGCGGCTGCGCAGCCGCTGCCAACCCCAGCCGGCAGG